GACCATTTTCACAAAGTGGACGACCTCAGCCATTATCACGATCACATTCAGCTACAGAACCAATGGCACTTGAGACTAAACAACGTCAACCACTACTAACTAAGCAAAAATCTGCGGAACCAACATTACAAAAAACTCCATCAAAAACACAACAACCTCCATCAACAGCACTACAACCATCGCTGAATAATACACAACAATCTCCACTAACAGCTACACTAAAGCCACATCAACAGAAGGAGAAGAAAGACCCATTACCATCATCACCTATGGAAGGTTCAATAGAATTCATTACAGTGAAAGAGATGTTAGCTGATCTTGTTAGTCTGTTAGCAAGAACTGATCCAGTTATTTTATCATTAAATAATGAACTCATTTCTTGTGGAATCACACCTCAAGATGTATACAGTGCTGTTGCTAATCCTTATCCTCCTCCAAATGAAAAAGCTACTCGACTCATCAACTCATTATTAGCTATCATACAAACTCATTCTAATCCTAACAGTGTGTTCTCTTCTCTCGTTACTTCACTACAGAAAGTAGGACTGAAGGACATGGCATCTAAACTAATGGAAAATTTCAGTAAGTTTTAAAACACATTATGTATATCTTAATTTATTTATTTTGTATAATAGAAATGAAAGGTGGTCATGTTGGTCCTAAAGAGCAGCAGCCATCAGTCAGTAAAGGACCACTTCAACCACACACACCACAACCAACTATCACTGGACCACAACCAACTACTCCTACTACTGTCATTGAGCTCAGTTCAAAGGGTGAAGTTGCTACCAATATTGGAAGTCTTCATTCTCGTTTTGCAACTCTCAATGTTATAATGAAAAGAAAGGCTGAGCAAATTGTGCAAAAAGGTGAAGTTGAGCTTATAGATATAGCTAGGAGTGCAGCTGCTTATTTAAGCATTGAAGTATCCAGTTTGAAATATGGTGATGTTGATGAACTATTTGATTCTGTTCAGCCTCATTATGATTTCTTCAGTTGTGGTGTACTTAAACACTTGACAGACACTTACCTTTCAAATGCACAAACTGAACTAACTCAATACATTGATAGTCTTGATAAATTTGCTGAGTCATCACAATTGAAGCACATACGATCAACAATCAAAGAGAAATTATCATCATTACCAGCAGCAGCCTCACCAACCACTAGCAATCAAACAAAACCAGTTGTTATTAAACTGAATGACAGGTGGGAAAAAATGACTTTAAAAAATTTTAAAAGAGTTCTTGAGTATTACTTTGGACATAAAATAGCAGATATTTCTACTATAGTGGACATTGATTATGGTTCAGTTGTTATTACACTGTCAATACCAACCTCACTATCACAGTCTATTATTGATGCTATCAATAACAATAAAGAATCAATGAGTAGATTAGGAATATTGGAAGTTGCTGTTGACAAAGATACAATTCCTGTCAGAAAAGAAGATGATAACAGTTTTGACACTTCACTTCATGAATCAGTGGAAGCTGGTGATAGTTTTGAAGTATCAATGCTACTGCAGTTAGGAGCTGATCCTAACAGTAAAGATGAGAGAGGAAAGAGTGCAGTGGAGATAGCTAATGAAGGAGGACACTCTGCAAAAGAAGAAACATTAGCTGCTAATGGAGGTAAAAGAAAGAGTGCGGAAATAGATGAAGAAGAAATAGAAGAGAAAATATCACCTGACAAAGGTGAGTTACACATGTTACTGATTTGTGTATGTACAAAATAATATCAAGTTGATGTGGATATCAATAATGACACAAGGATAATTAACATGCATCTCTCTTTCTCACTCTCTTAATGCACCTTAGATCAGACGTATGAGTGGAATAGCGGACAGAAAAAAGTGGATGCATCTGTGTCACTGACAGTCTTTCACAACGCTGGAGCTGACAGAAATGAACAAAGGCTATAGCATTGCTCAATAAGTTCCAGTTACCATGTAGCAGTTTAACTGTATTTGTAGCTTGAGAATTGAAATATTTTATTGTCATGTATAAATAATTATTATTATTTATAATTAATTTTTTTGGTTCCTGTAAAAACAATATTTGTTCTTGTTATTGTAGGTGTTGTGTGCTGATTGTATTATCAATAATTAATTTTATTAGAAATTAAATTTAAAAGTGAAGCCTCCACCACCGAACGGGAAACCATGAGGAAACCCGCCGTGACCCCCACCCCCGTGCTGCTGCTCTGGATCAAGAGGATCTTCACCATTATCAAACTTTGATCTCATCTCTAAAAATGTTAAATAATAATCATTATAATAACAGCAGTGATAGATAACTACTACTACATGTTCTAACTAAAACTGGTAGACTTAAGGCAGACCTCTAGGGCTAAATATGAGAGACCAAAAGCTGAAAAATGGGACAGATTTCAGGAGACCTAGACCAAATATGGGAGACCAAAAGTCTCCTAAACTCCCTCTAGATCTGACAGTGATTATAAGCTTATTTGTTTAGATAAAATGACCAAGTTATCAGGTAAAAACTATCATCTACTTTAAGGCAAAGATTAGAAAATTTTAAAGCAAAAGCTGTCACCTACATGTACATGTACTCAGAGGTGTAAATTACCAAAACTTGGTGAAATTCGCCCTCTAATTAGAAGTCAAAATCCCAAACTGTACCTTTATCAGTGAGTACTTCCTTGGCAGCTGCAATATCATAGAACATCTTCTCTGCCTTCTTCTTGTCCTCCCCATCATATTTATCAGGGTGCCATTCCTTAGCCAGCCTCCTATAAGCTTTGTTGATCTCCTTCACTGAGGCATTCCTCTTCACTCCTAGTATCTTGTAATAGTCTCGCTTCTGGGACTGCTTTAATAAGTTCTGTGCTCTGTTCAAACCATCCTTAGCCTATTAATAATAATGATGAACCAAATTTAGTACATGTACATGTACTACATACCGTATAGCAGGAAAATTTGGAGGGAGTTAAATTTGGTAAATTGCTAAATTTCAGTGATTGGTGAATTTAATTTGGCAAATTTGTGGCCACGTGCCATTGAGCATGCGTATAATGGCTCAAGATGGCAGATTTTTATTTTGGCGAATGGCTATCAAAACGCCAAATTCACCAAATTTAATTCCCTCCAAAATTACCCGCTATACTGTATTGTAACTCACTCGTTGAAACTGTTCATTAATCTTGAGAGTGTGTTGATACAGTTTGATGGCTTCCTCATACTCCTCATTACTGATATATAGTTCACTCTTATCACACAACACATCAATGTTCTCAGGATCAAGTTCAAGGACTTCATTGCACCATTTCATACCATCATCATATGAACTGATCTATGGAATGAATTAATTAATAATAAAAATAATAACAATAATAATAATAATAATACAGTATTATACATGTACATTATGATACGCAACTCAAAAATCTGCCAAAGTCTTAGGTCAAATTTTACCAAAAATTAAAAGTAGAGAATTTTCAATTTTTATTACATTTTCTAATGCATGTACATGTTCTTATGTTGTGTAGCAAGTTTGAGTTGATTCCGATCAAAATTGGATTTTTTTAACAAATTTTTAAAGTTGGTCCAAAATCAGGTAAAAGTCCCTGTACTATATAGTACAGCGTCTCAAGCCAAAAATTGCCAAAAAATGAAAAGCAGAGAATTCTTCATTTTTCATCACAGTACATGTACATGTATACACAAGTACATGTACATAAATAATTACATGCACATGTACTGTACATGTACACATTAGTTAATTGTTATACTCCAGTCCTTACCTTAGTGTGAGAGGTACAGAGTCTTGTCTTGATCTTAATGAGGATAGCAACACTTTCACTCTCAGTCTTCAAGGCATTCTTTAACTTATCAATTGCTTCTTCAAACCTAATAAATAAACAAACAAACAAACAAATAAATAAACAAATAAACAAAATATTATATCAATACCGTTCCTCCTCCATCATTTTTCTAGCTGCCTCCAACTGCTTCACTAACTTCTTTAATTTCTAATAAAGAGACACAGAAACAGTGTGACAGAGACCCCATTACAATACACAGTCCTTACTTTATACAGTAGGTAGCAGTCCTTGTGGTCCTGGTCCAGTTTAAGACACTCCCTGATCTCCCTCAGGCTGTCCTCCTCCTCTCCTAACTGATAGTATAATGAACTGATCTTATAGTAACCCTCTGTATTGTCAGGGATCAGTTTAGTTAACATCCTAATGGAGAGGAATGGATGAATGAAGTGAAGGGTACATGCATATGTATTTAATGAGCTTCATGTACATACATGTAGTAGTAGCTAATGGGGGAAGGGATTTACATGTACATAACTACATGCAGTTACTACACATGCAAGTGTTTTAAACTTGTAAGCTATTATGTACATGTACATGCTCAATAGCAAGGGGTGGGTTCAAATTTACCAAATTAAAACCCACCAAACAACAAAAAATTAACAATTCACCAAAATTTTACCACCTCCAAAATTACCATCCATACATGTACATGCACCACTTATAAAAGTACCAGTGCAGCCACCTACTTAATGTCACTGATAGCTGATTGATACTGCTTAGTGTGTTCATAGTATACTGCTCTAGCTGATCTGAGGTGAGGGAACCAGGGGCACAGTTCTATTGATACTTGTAACTGATGGAGGAGGTCCTCAGTGTAGTCTCCTTTAGACATTAGGTGATCAATGTTCTCAATGTACTGCTGGACTGTCTGGGACCTTGATAACTGTATGTACATGTATAACGTATAATAATAGATTAATGAATAAATAAAGAATTGAATTACCATTTCTTTTGCTTCTTCAGTTGCTGAATTCTCCGAAGACTAAAACAATAAATAATCAATAATTAATAATTAATAATTAATAATTAATAATGGCTACATGTACATTATGAAATGATAATAAATTACAAATGCATGCATGCACAATATTAGAACCAGGCCATGTACACACACACACTGCACTCACACAATGTACAGTGTAAATACTACAGTACATACCCTACACATACCCTATAGGTATCAACTGATACAAGTACTGTATGTACTACATTATCCTTACTGCTAGTATCTGATAGTACATATACTGTACTACATACCCTATACCATGTATATTGTGTATCAGACTATCAGTCGTTCTTACTGCTAATATCTGATAGTAAATACTGTACTACAGTTACTACACACCTTAATGACCCTATACCCAGTATATTCTGTCAGTTATGTACTTACTGCTAATATCTGATAGTCTTCCTGAGCTGCTGATACTTTACCTAATTTAACATTAGTGTTAGCCCTCTCCAGTCTTGCCTAGTAATAATGATAATCAATTTTTAATTAATGCCGTATAGTGCTTTATTTTGGTGATTTTTGCAGTAAATTTGTAAGTATCAGTTTTTAATTTAGTACACGTCCATTATTAAGAATGTACATGGTTTTAATATACTGGCAATTTAACTTGCAAATATCACCAAATAAAACTCAGCCAATATTAATAAATTATAATAGTTAATACATTACCTGATGGAAGTCAGGTTTCAGTTCCAATACTTTCCCAAGATCAGGCAGTGACTTCTTAGCCTGACCCAGTGCTAGATACACTGCTGCCCTCTTGAAGTACGTTAAATAATTTGATGGGTCACCCGCTAAAAATAAGAACAATGAGAATTAGACATTTTAATAATTGTAAATTAATAGTACTTTTAATTCAAATTAACATACAACACCAGCTGTTGCAAATGAGGTGATAAAATTAACACCAATTCATCATTAATTATTATTAATTAATAACGTACCCACTGCTAGATTATACTGCTCAAGTGCTTCTGGTAGGTTGCCATCTTGAAGCAACTTCTTTCCTTTTTCCAAATGACCACTAACAGAATCAGACCAAACACCTAAAGGAGAAAATAAACAAATTTTATAGATTATTATAACTGCAGGACATTTTAGAATCCTCTCACCGTTAAGAGTATTGATGTACAATAGAACCAGTGTCCGTACTAGGTGTACTGACATTGTGAAGTCCAACAAACACTGGAATCCTAGTAAATAGTACCAGTCCTTTGATGTACTGGGTCAGTTTTGTATGTAGGTGGGCTTTAATTAGAAACAATCGTGGCTGGATCTCATTGGTTGTTAGGGCTGTTGTCATAGTAACGAGTACACTAATTAAAGGAGGAGGAGCTTAGGAGGGCTAGAATTAAAATGGAGAGAGTTTATGGAGGTCCTGATTTACTGGATATAGTGCACCAGAGCGCGAGAAAAGGGTAAGTGAAAAGTTTATATTGATTTTAAATAATTTTTTTAATTTGTAGGACACTGTTGTCGTCTTGTAACAGCGAAGTGAAGGAGGTTAATGAATTATAATTGTTATGAATAATTTTGTCGTAATTATTTTATTTGTTAAAAATTAGCAAAAGTATACTAAATTATAATTGTATAATATACTTTATAGATAAATAAATGGCTGATTATATATTAACATTACAGTAGTTATTATTATTATTATTATTATTGTTAGTTGATGCACCAGATTGATGTGTTACTGACGAAGAATCTTGAAGACGCTCAGAAAGAGAAGGAATTACTAAAAGAACAACTTCAAACAAGAGAAAAGGAGATAACATCATTAAGAGTACACCTCAAGGAAAAGACCACACAAGTTAGTGAATGAGCTGAACTACATGTACAGTATATGCATGTACTGATGGACATGTACTTGTAGCAATGATGAATGGGCTATAGCCTTGGGTATTTTTCAGAATTTGGGCATTTTCTTAAAATGGCCATAACTTAAAAAATTGAAGTCGGAATCAGTTCAAACTTGCTACACAGCATAAGGACATCAATATTAAATTTTTATTAGAAAATGTGATAAAAATTTGGGGTGATTTCGGAGCCATTTTTTGGAAAAAATCATGGGCTATAGCCTTGGGTATTTTTCAGAATTTTGGTATTTTCTTAAAATGGCCGTAACTTGAAAAATTGAAGTCGGAATCAGCTCAAACTTGCTACACAGCTTAAAGTCATCAATATGTATCAGAAAATGTGATAAAAATTTGGGGTGATTTTGGAGCCATTTTTTGGAAAAAAAACCATGGGCTATAGCCTTGGGTATTTTTCAGAATTTTGGTATTTTCTTAAAATAACTGTAACTTGAAAAATTGAAGTCGGAATCAGCTCAAACTTTCTACACAGCATAAGGACATCAATATGTATCAGAAAATGTAATAAAAATTTGGTGTGATTTCGGAACCATTTTTTGCAAAAAACCATGGGCTATAGCCTTGGTTATTTTTTAGAATTTGGCTTATTTAGAAATAGCTGGAATCAGCTCAAACTACATGTACAGTGTACATTGTGTCATTAGTTCCAATGGGTAAAGGTTTGTGTATTAATAGATCAAGAGGCTTCAAGATGAGTTGGTTAAATGTGACAGACAGTTGAAAGTGAAGACCAGTGACCTTGAGACCCAACTACTGAGACTAAGAACTGAAGTACATCATGAGATTATAATGTATAATATACACTCACCATCTCTCCCCCTACCTCCTCCTCCTCCTTTTATTAGTTAAATCGTTTAAATAAATCATACGAGAAACTAAAAGCCACCAAAACAAAGACACAAGTTTGTGTAATTATTATCATTATTTATTTATTTATTTATTTATTTATTTATTTATTTATTTACATCAATACTCATGTATAGATAATGGATGAAAGAACACAAACTATACAAGTAACTGAAATACATTATACATGTACATCTATATCTACATGTACATACACATGTATGTATTCCATGTGTATGTGTATTGTTAGTGTTTAGAAGAGAAGGTACTCTCTTATGAAGAAGAGATTGAGTCATTAACTAATGACAATTAGGAACTTAAGAAGGACCATCACTGCATTACAAGTACTGTACACTGCACTTTAATTAATTGATTAATTAATTAATTAACAGGAGCAGTTGGATATGAGATATGATGATTGTTATGATGATACTGAAAAACAAAAGAAAATTAAAAAGTAAATAATAATAATAAAATAAAAACAATAACAACAACAATAATAATAAGAGGAGGGGAAGAAAGAGGGAGGGAAGAGAAGAAAGGACAGAAGGGAAAAGAAGAAAATAAATAAATAAGACACAACTAAAGGAACAAAATAAGCATAAAAATAACTAGGATACACGCTATGACCATGAATATGTTATGTCTTATGTGCCATAAAGGGGTTCGAAGGTGGATGGTAGTGTATCTTGAACCATAAGAGCATTTCCTCTCTGAACTGCCACCGATAGTCGTTGGAGGAGAAATGAGTGTGCCCTCTTGTCATGTGAGCTATTACATAACCGGCGTCCAATCTCCTTAATAATCTTGTGAGTTAGAGGACCTAGAGCACCCAGGGACTCAATGGCAATAGGCGAGAACAAATAGGAAGAGGAGAGGGTGGAGTATTTATCAGCC